ATCTATCTATCTATCTATCTATCTATCTATCTATCTATCTATCTATCATCTATCGACTGAACTACCTACCTATCTTTGTAGTTCTAGGAATGAAACCAGGAGAGGCACACACACCAAGCAAGTTCTGTACCACTGAGCTCAGTCCTGATAAGGACTTTAATCAGACACAAAGCTCTGTCCCCTTAGGTAAACAACTCTAATACCAGCTCTTGACTATAGAGTGTCAACATGATACCTGCCTTGCTGGGTTACTTTAGGGCTTCATGAATTGATGCGGATGAATTAGTTTAACAGCCTGATAGAAGTAGATGCTGGGCAAACGTCAGCCTTCTCTCTTTTCCCACAAAACTGCGCTCACACGCACAACATCTGTGCTGCAAGAGATGGTGAGGAAACCAGTAGGAGTAGGCAAGGAGGTCTGAAAGCCGTAGATTATTGTGTCAGTAGTGACTCTAAATGGATCAGATGTGGAGTTAGGATTCCATAAACTGCCCCGCGCTAGTGCCCGCATCGGGGTGGAAACACAAGCAGGCTGTGGGGGGCATTGGCCATACTGGGCAATAGTCACGTGGGGTGTCGGCTGTGCTAGGCAATGGTTGTGTGGGGCAGAGGCAATGGTTCTGCAGGGTGATGGCTGTGCGGGGCAATGGCTGTGCACAGAAATGGCTGACACGGATACTGTCTGTCTTGAGACTCTCAGGTCACTGTAATGTAAAGGCAAGGTTGAGATGGCGTTTTGCAGCTTGACTTTCTTGCAAAAAAAAAAATAAGAAGAAGAAGAAACAGCTGCTTTCTTTCTGATGGCTGAGGTATTTGGGCTTTGTTTCTAAAGTGGACAGGAACTCTGGAATGTTCGTCCACACTCAGAAGTGGGTCTGACTCTATTCAGAACACTCTGATGTGAAAACGTTTGAAACAGCTTTTCCAAAACAGCCAACAAACAATGCTTATAGGGCAGTGGGTTGTGATTTCCTCAGCACACAAGCCTTAAATGGTGAGTTTTCTCAATGCTCTGGGGAGTGCCCAACTTTTTTTTTTTTTAAACAAATTGCTAACCTGTAACCTCAAAAACAAAAGCCTCCTGCTCAAGAATGACATCTGGCCCTCCAGGGAACTCATTCCCCAATTGATAACTAAAAATAATCTGACATGACACAGTTACGTAGAGTAACACTGCTATTTTAGGCAAAATAAATAAATAAATAAAACTAAATCAAAGATAAATGAGAATGGATGGAAAATGATCTTTTATTTTTTTAGTCTGTGACCTTAACCAAGGCTGGCCATAGATCATTAGTAGATTTCACCTGCCTCACAAATACATGCTGTACATTGGGTTTTTTTTTTTTTTTTTTTTTTTTTTTTTTTTTTTTTTTTTTTTTTTTAATTAGTGTGTGTGCATGCCACAGTACACATGCAGAGGTCAGAGGACAACTGTGGGAGTCGGGTTTCCCCTCCCACCATGTAGGTCCAAGGGATTGAACTCAAGTCATCAGGCTCGGTGACAAATTCCTTTTACTTACTGAGCCAACCCACTGCACAACCCCACCCCAAATCTTTTTACTAAAAGCACACTTGCCCAGCCCCAGGGGGAGCTAGAAGAGAGCACATCAAAGCTGAGGAGCTGTCATCAAAGTGCCAGCCCTGGGAGCACCGAGCACCCAGTATGTAGCTGATCCTAAGTGTGGCACATGACCCCTGGATGACTCGTATTGGACTTGGTAGGAAAGGCTGAGTACAAACAGACAGTTTTCTGTCATGGACATACTGGGGTCATAATGCTTCACCTCTCTAAAGTTAAGTACAATATTACAAAAAGAGAGTTTCTCTTAACTGTTTCAATATGGCCACCACTACATTTGAACCACGTTTTGTTGTTGTTGTTGTTTGTTCATTTGCCTTGGATGGCTACTGGACAGTCCCACTGATGAGGGTGCTTCAAGCTCAAGTTACCATGAACAGTGAACTTCGTATGTCACTGTCCTCCCTAGCCTAGGTTCCTTTGGTCAAGAGGTCAAGAGCAGCCAGGCATGGTGGTGCCAGCACTCTGGGAGGCAGAGTCAGGGGGATCTCTGTGAGTCTGAGGCCAGCCTGGTCTACAGAGGGATTCCAGGACAGCCAACACTACACAGAGACACCCTGCCTCAAAAAACACAAGAGGTCAAGAGCTTGCGCTGCCCGGCTTCTACAACCTGCAGGCACTCTGAAGCTCTGAAGCAGGACTATAGCAGTACTGAGCTGTGGAACAAGGAGTGGGATCAGCTCAGTTCGTAAGGGACACACAGCTTGTGTCCAGAACTGGAGAGAGCATTGTTCAGACATGCCAGACTCCTCAGAGAATCACAGCGCCCAGCTCTCCCTGACCTGAGTTCAGTAAGTGTCTTGTCAGAAGTGATTTCTGATTTATCCATACTTTTCTGGATGTATATGCAATCTGCCAAAATTACCCTGCTACTCTACCATAACCTGTCAACCTCAGGAGCTGCATAGCCTGTGAAATTCAGGCGGTGTGATCCACGGGCAAGTCCTGTAAATTTCAGGAACCGTGACCAACCCAGCATGACTGCCAGCTTCGTGTCTCCTCACTTCACGCCTTTACCACACACTGCCTCCAAAGGGGAGGCTCCTGCTGTGGTTTCCCTGTTGGCTCCAGGCTGGTGGTGTTAAGAAGTAGGGGGATCCTTTAATGGGTGGAGCCTAGTGAAGGAGACCAGAGAATGCTCTTGGACAGGGTTCTCTATCATAGTGCTTGCAGGATCCCAGTAACAGCCAGTCAGAGTGAATCATTATAAAAGAGCAAAACTTGTCCCTCCCTCTCCTTGGCTTCCTATCTAGCCACGTGCTCACACATTTGCTCCTGCCATGATGCCATCAGCGGTGCATGAGGAAGTCCCTCAGCAGTGCCCAAATCGATCGTGTGCTTTCAGCCTCTAAAACTGTGATCGACACAATCTGTTGTACAAAACTCCCAATCTCGGGTATGCTGTTATAGCTACAGGAAAGGATGATCAGACTTCCCCTTGCTATTCTGTAACAAGCCTTTCACGGGACTTTTAACGGCCACGGTCGGTTAATAAACAAGAGCATCTTAGAAATCAGTAACATACCAACTCCATTAACTGTTTGAGCTGACCTATCTCTTCAGGCAGTGATCCAAGCTTGTTGTTACTTGCGATTAAGACTTTGAGAGGCAGGCCACACAGGCAGGCAGGCAGGGCAGACAGCTGATTTCGACTGTAAAGACAATACAACAAAAACACATGTAAACAGAGAGGCCACGTCATGATGCTGCCTGTGGTCAATTTCTCTTTTGTTGGGGAGTACGTTTTTCTTTGGGTTATTTGAGATAAGGGCTCTCTAAGTAGCCCTGGCCAGCCTGGCATCCCTCCATAGCCCAGGATGGCTTTACATAATCTTCTGCCTTTGCATCCATAGCACTAGAATCACAGGCCTGCAGAAACATGCCCACCTGTGAATATGAGAAGATATTTTCCAAATATAAAAACCCCAATACTTCTGTCTATGAAAGCACTGAATGGAGGCGTGGAGAGACAAGATTGGATAACAAGTACCAAAATGAAATTTGATGACTAACGTTGAGCTTTCACCAGTCAGAAGAGCCTAGACTAGTAAAGCAAATGACAGCTCATGCTATTTGGAATACAGAGTAAGGGGGACACTCCTCCATTGCTGGTGGGAGGACAAACTCGAATGGCCACTAGAGAAAGCAGTGTGGCGGTTGCTCGGGAAGATGGGAAATGATCTGCCTCAAGAACCAGCTATACCACTCTGAGCATATAACCAAAGAATGCTTCATTCTATGACAGAGACACTTGCTCAGCCATATTCATTGCTGCTCTCTTCATAAGAGCCTCAACAGATGAATAGATAATGAAAACGTGACATACTTACACAACAGTCTATTACTCAGCTATTAAAAAAAAATGAAATTCGCAGGGAAAAGGATAGAGCTGGTGAAAATGATTCTAAATGAGATAATCCAGATGCTAAAGAAGAAATGTGATATGTATCTGAATATATGTGGATGCTAGCTATTAAGTCTTCGGTAAGCAAGCTACAGTCCATATGGCCACAGAGGTTAGGTATAGAGTAAGGGTCTAAGAGGAGGAAGGGATCTTCTTAGAAAGGGGAAATAGGATAGTAATGGATGGATGAGGGGGACTGGAACAGGCGCATCACACAGGGAGGAGACGGGGCAAGTAGGGTAAGGGAGGGGCTATGGAAGGGACACCTAACACTAAGGACCATTTGCAGGGTTATAGGAAAACCTACTACAGTAGAAGCTTCTTAAAATATATATATAAATATTAAAAAAAAAATCTAAGTGGACTCACCAAACAACCAGGATACAAAGCCACAACAAGACATCTCTCACGCCCAAGGGAATCCTCCGATACTAGGCATAGGTCGCATCTAATTGAGTTGTGGGCCAAAGGAACCCCGCGGAAACCCACGAACAACCCAGGCTATTGCCAAGGCTATTGGTGGCTCTCCACAGCCTAACAGTAAGGCCAACTGCTGAAGACAACACCTGTGCCACTCTTGAAACATGGAAAAGCCAAGCTGGGGCCCGTCAAGAGCCTTAAGCCTACTCAACTAGTGTTATGGCGGAGAAGATACTAGCATTCTACCAAAAGAGAAGGGAGGGTAAATACCCAGGCAGCTGTAAAACGGTCCATCTGCAATGGTGACCTGCATGCAAGACACACCGGGACAAAAGTGACACAAAGGGCGTGAGCGTAACCAATCTCAGCCTGACTGCATTTAAAGCCCGCTCGATGAGAGGGGACCCCGACCTGACACTGCCCAGGTGGCCAATAGCCTGACACTAGATAAGCCCTGGACCAAGGGAAAGCCAAATACTATCGTTCTGCTGCAAAGCTGTAGCAATACAATGACTCCTAACAACATTCCGCCATAGACAAAGATCAGTGTGTTGCTCGGCCACCATCAGAGATGCGTCCTCCTCCAGAACACGGGGACAAATACAGAGACCCACAACTGGACAGTCTACAGAGAGTGAGGAACTTTGGGAAACTCAGTTCCAAAGGGGATTCCTGCCCAGGCTCTGGGAACTCTGTGGAGGAGGAGGAGCAAAAGGGTTGTAAGAGCCAGGCCTTCCGGATACCACACGGCAGACACACATATGAACACACGGAGGCTGTGGCGGCATGCATAGGGCCGTCACAGGTCTAAGCCAGATGTGGTCTCCGAGGTGAAGGGGGGAAGTGGACATAAGCTAACCCAGAGGCGATCTCCAATTAATAGCTGCCTGGAAAGGAAAAAAAATACTTTTCTTAAATTGTGTCTCACTGGATATACAAACTTTTCAGGGCAGTACCCATGCCCATCAGTGGACAGCCAACATAAGGTGAATTGAACAGTGGTTTGGGAGAGGTTTTTTTGTTTTATTTATGCATTTATTTATCTATCTATCTATCTATCTATCTATCTATCTATTTATTTATTTACTTATTTATTTATTTATTTATTTTGGCTCATAATGTTTAAGTGTAGATTTTTTTTCTTTTTAACCATGCCTTTTGTTTGTATGTCATGGTTTCCAGTTTGGGGTTGTCGTGGGCTTTCTATGTGTGCGAATGGGTGTGTCTCTGCATCTGCAGGTGTTTCTTGTGCTTTGTCTTCAGCTCTCTTTTCTTCTGTGCATGTGTCTGTTTGGTTTTACCTTATTTTACTTTGCTAGAATCCTATATGTTGTCTAATGAGTGAGACAGAGACAGAGAAAAAGAGACAGGTTATGGACTCAGGTGCGTGGGAAGGTGGGAGGACCTGGGGACACTTGGAAGTGAGGCAACTAATATAGTTTGTGGGGGGGGAAAGTATTTTCAATTTTTAAAAATTAAAACTTTTTAAAAAAGAAATTTGAAATTCTGAAAAAAAAAAAAAAGCAATTTGGTAGAATGAATGAATTCTGGGGTTCTGAAGCAGAACTCTGGGGTCAGGTGAGTTAGCCTTCCGCTGTCCATTACACCCTTCAGTATCACTGACTGGCTGAGGGCTTCCCATCAGACACATGACCACCGTCTGAGGATGGGAAGATGCTAAGCATCAGGTATGATCACTCCACCTTACACAAATCATCCACACCAGCTTCTGCATGTACGTTATAAACACACACAAAGGGGCCTTCGGTAGGATGCAGCTTTGCACAGTGCGGTGCCATGAGCTTCTTGACCAGAAGGACAGAAAGACAGGAAGACGGAAGGAGGCAGCAGGACAAGCATTCTCTCAAACCAAAAGCACTGGGAGCAGGCGTTGCCAGAGCTCAGACCATAAATGGTTCCCAGGGGCCCAGTGCTACAGGCTACCTCTTAAATGCCCACCACCGGAACTGGAGAGGCGGCTCCGTGGTTAAGAGCACTGGCTGCTCTTCCAGAGGAGCACGGTTTGCTTCTCAACACCCACATGGCAGTTCACAATGCCTGTAACTCTAGTTGCAGGAGCTCCAACACCCTCACACAGACACACAATCATCCAAACAGCAATGCACATAAAATAAAAATTAAAAAAGCCCACCAACTTCCAAGAGTAGCATGGTGCTATTTCCATCATGTGCCACCCCAGACCCCAAAGCAATGGGGCCTACTGACTAGACTAGAACTTAACAAAAAAAAAAGCCAAAGCAAACCTTCTCTCTTTTTGTTAACTGTTACATTAACAGAACGCTGCCTGACTGATGCCACTGTTTTCTCCTGACAACATGTACAGGAAACTCAGTCAGACAGGACCAAAGCAACCAGTACTCTGAAGACACTGTTTGTTAAAAAAAAAAAAAAATAAAAATAAAAAAAAAAAAAGGAAAGGTAGCTTTCTACCAAAGAACGCCTGGAACCCAGAGGGCATCAGCTTCCCAGGGTAGCCAAATGGCGGCTCTGCTCCACTCTGCAGGAAGAGATAGAGCACGCAGAAGTCTCTGAACTTCCTACTGTCCCTGTTTGGTTTTCTAAGACAGAGAGAGTCATTAATGAAACTTGATTGACTCGTCACATGCTCACATCAGCCATTTAATTCAGCCTCCTCCTGACACAAAGCCCTCTGTCCCACTAGCAAGCTCAGACACAGATGGGTTACAGTTTCTCCGACTTCCTTCCCCCATTATTCCGAGGATGAAGCCAACATCACGTGAATGCAACCATTAAAAACTTCCGTGTGTTTGTGCCCACGTGCACAACACTTCAATGCTGTGCCCCAGGCAAAAGACTTAGGGAAGTCTCGGTCAGAAAGATGGGTTTCTAACCTACCCAAATATCATTAGTGGTCACTTGGGGGTATCTAATAAGTGGTTTTTATTTTCCTTTTCACACTTTGTCCTGTTTTCTGAAACTCCTACAGGAGTTTTTACAATCAGAAAAGAAACATCCTGTAACAAGATAAACTACACTAATGTAGGAACAGTCACATGGGTGTTCCTATCTGTGAACACTCGTTGATAAGCACATGCCCTGTGCATTACAATGGGTATATGCTACACCAGAAACCCCAGCTCCCCTGCACATGGTAAGGGGCGGGAATCTGGTCCGCCAAAGGGCATCTCTAGCCTATGGGTGGACGCTGAGCAAAGAGCCTGTCTAATCTGGCTCTCCCTTAACCAACACCTCAATGTCACTCCTATTCCTGGCACTCGGTTCTTAGCTAGCTCTATTAGGGCGAGAAGTAGCCCATCAACCATTTCTCCTGTGGCTCAGATCTGCAAGAAAGCTGTTTCCACAACTGGGCAGAAGAGCTTTTCCATGAAGTTGTAGCAGCAGAGGGGAGTGAGGGGGCTTCCCAGGGGCCCTGGCTCTAGTGACCTGGCTCCAGGTTGCTACCTTCCTGGGTCAGAAACACACACAAACACACACTGACACTTTCCCTCATCTCGGGGGACAGCAGAGGTAGAAGTGGGCCCCAGGCTGTCCCTCTCCTATCTCCAAGGACCTGCTTACAGAACTGGTTAAATAACAGTCCCCTTGGCGTCCTGCTGGCTTTTCTCAAGCTCTGAGAAGGGCTCCGTAGCCACCTACAGAAAGATAGCTCGGTTATTAAAAGGTGACCTGTAAATAATTCACATCGCCATTTGTGATTATGAAATATTCATAATATGTAAACCAGGCAGGTGGTATACACCTATAATCCAGCACTATGGAAGCCGAGGGAGAAGGAAGGCCTGGGTTACAGACCAGTCTCTAAAAGCACAACGTTTATAAATACCC